AAGTAACTTGACCAACACTGCTCTTGACTTCCTTCTTAAAAAAAATTCAAATTTGGATACACCACTCAGTAAGACTGGTCACTGATTACATCACCTTTTTCTCGCTGTTTCCCTTCCATAAGAATGCCACCAGCCATCCTTCTATTTATAATTTGTTTTTCTATAAGTAATATATAATAAATCTACAACACAGGAAGGAATGCAGTTTATTGCTATCAATATTATACCCCACCCCTACAGTGCACATCATCCAGCTCTGTGACTTAAGGTCACATAAGCACTTTAGTGGACTTTCGTGGCCAAGGCATGCAGCAAGAGTTGAATCCCAAAGCAAAACTGTGCTGCTGGGCCACTAATTCTCCTACTCATGCACCTGGGTTTTGATGCGATAATTTCTCTATGAATATAAAACATAAGCACAAAATTTATATAACTGAATTTAGTTAGACCCTACTTGGGACAAGGCCTCAATAAAGCAGCACCAAATGCTTATTTTAACTCTTGTATCATGCAAATTTTAACTTTTGCAAAACATTCAAAACTAGTGTCATGAAGAGGGAAAGATCTTACATTATTTATATAAGGATATGTGATTTCTATATCATTATATATCTTATGGAGACAGTTTAGATCACAGGTGTTAAACTTATTTTAGTAGAATAGAATAGAATTCAACTTTATTGTCACTGTACATGTCACAGGTGCAAGGCAACGAAATGCAGTTTGTATCCATCCAGAAGTGCTTTAGCCATGATATAGATGTATTACAAATATATATTAGCAATAATATAGATATGTAAGTATATTACAGAAATTGGTCTATTATGATATGTTATAATGTACACGGTATGAAGGTATGTTATGATTAAGGTATGTTATGTTAGTACATGGGATACATGCACTTGACATTTTGACATCTCTCAAAATGTGTATAACTGGTAGAGATGCTGCCTCCATACACGCCCTTAGTTTTTTGCATTCAGTGGATCAGCTGTCATTACATGGACATATTCCAATTCATAAAGGCAGAAAACTTTTACCCGTGGAGTTTTGCTAAATAAACAATATTCATCACTCAGATTTTTAATGTAAAAACATTTACTTTTAAATAGTAATACTGGCATTGCATCACTAACACGATCCTGATATTATTTTATTATAAACACTGAGTAATTAACGCGTTTACATCATTTTAAATGATATCCAGTAAAGCAAATTGGTCCCTGTGCGGCACCACGGCGGTATATTTGACACCCTTGGTTTAGCCCATATTGGTATGGACTAAACCCACATTAGCCCATAATGGTATCATCCAGTCTGCGTGGTTAAAATGGTGCAGGGCGCCAAAATTAATGTATGAACGCTGAAGTCCAGAGGACATGTGGGCCAATCACAGACATTGAGTGAGAAGTTAGTGTCCAATGGCAACATATTATAGCTTGAGTGATACTTATATTGGCCAATCGTTTTCATCGTTAAACGCCTATTGTGGGCGTGGTTAATCACTTCCAGGACGCTCATGACATTTTTTGTTTATCTACACGGGACAAGGCATGGCGTGCGAAGGTGGGTGTCCGAGTACGATCTTTTTCTTAGGTTTAAACTTAATGGACCTTCACTGCAGGCTAACACCGGACGTCAGTTAAACATTTTTTAGTCAAGTCACCCGTACAAATCACTTTACTTCTTTCATAGATTTCAAAGTAATTAAATTCGAAAGTTGGGATTATAATTCTCCTGAAAGTAGGAGCAGAAAATGGTTTTCTTACATATGCCTCGTTGCTAGTAATAATCAATTTGACAGCTGGGTTGCAGACACATAAAATCTGTGATGTCGATGGTTGAATCACACAAACTAGCGGTTAGCAGATTTTGTCTTCATATTGACCGGAAGTGGTATTACAGGGATGCGATTTTAGAGGAGACTTGTCCATACACATTTGATAAAAGTTGCCTCCGCGTTGTTTAAAGCTGTTTAGATCACTACACATTGGGTGTTTGCAGGAATACAACGGCACAGGTACAGTTAGCGAGTCAATAAGTACCGATGAACTTTATCTTAACGCTATGGTGGGCGGGAGTCAATTAGCCATGCAGGCTAACGTTAGCTGCACAGGTTTCTATTTAGGCTATTCGATCTTTGTTTTAAAGCCTTGTTAAAACTAATGTTACCTTAATTATACGTTAACATTACAGTTTATGCATTATGTTACCCGTGTTTATGTGCAGCACTCTTCCTGTCTTGCGCTTTGCCAGGAATGGATGCTACTCAGATGATCAGTGACTCAATCTTGGAGTCAGATGAGGAAGATAATGAAGAGGAGATCGAAAATAAGAGGGGACGACCGTTGGCTAAACTGTGCATCTTGAAAAATAAACACATACCTGAGGCAGGTGAGTGGCTAACTGATGTTGTTTTTACACGTGATCTGCACAGTCTGGTACTACTTAAGATAGCCTTTATTAGTCCCACATGTGGGAAATGTGTAAATCTTGCATACAGAGGGGGAAACATTTGATCCTATGGAGAATTTGCAACTTTGCTCAGTTACAATGAAATGAACAGTCTCTAATTAGTATGCTAGTTTCATTTTAATAAAGAGGGACAATATAAACACATTACATAATATTTGATCCCCCTTAATAGTTAGTGATGAAACTCTTGTTGGCAAAGGATCAACATGGTCCAGTGCATTGACCCATTAATTTGGTGAAGTTGTCCAGTACCTGAAGACAGCCCCAAAGCATAATTTTTCCACCTCCATGCTTGACTGTGGAGATGGTGTTCTTTGGGTCGTACTCTGCATTTCACTTCCGAACTTCACTGCCAAAGAGCTGAATTTTGGTTTTATCTGACCACACCACTTTGTCCCACACCTTCTCTGAATCATTTAGCTGTTCATGGGCAAACTTAAGACAAGCCTGTACATGTGCCTTCTTGAACAGGGAAGGCAAGATTTCAATCCATTACAGTGTAGTATGTTATCAGTGGTGTTCTTGGCTGCTTTCAGATCATTAACAACCTCCTCCCATGTAGTTTTGGCCCAGCAGTTGTCACTTTCTCATCAAGCTTTTTGCTAAAATCTTGTCCAGGACATTCTTTGACAGCTCTTTGGTCCTGCCCATGTTGGTGGAGCGGTTGGAGTGTAAAAAATGCATTCTTCTGATTTATTGTAATGTTGTACACAGCCAATCTGCAGGTGCAAGAATTCTGGTTGGATTCAAGAGGATCAAATACTTACTTCACTCAATGACATCCAAATCAAAACTTGTAATGTTTTTTTTCCTAGATTTTGGTTAATGTTCTGTCTCTCTCAATTAAATTGATGTTTTATAAACAAATAAAGTAAATTAAACTACACAAATAGGCAACAAATAGGGAAGCCAGTTTGGGAGTATGCGGTTTCAATAGTATTTGCTAGTAAAAAGCTGAGCTGCAGCATTTTAAACAAGCTGCAGTGACACACTGACACTCGAATAA